ATGAATGAATTGGTGCTTTCCAAAAGTCCATTTGCATAATTTCGAAAACTCCATCAGGTGGTAATTCACATTGTAAAAATCCTGGTTTCTTTTGTCGTTGAACATTAAATTGAACACAAGCACTACACGAGCGAATATATCATTTAATATGATCATACATGCGAGGGAAAAAGAATTGTTCTCGAACTTTGTGAAATGGTCGAGTGACACCAAAGTGACCACTCATTGGATGATCGTGATATACAAATAAAACATGTGGAATTAATGATGCTGGTAACCATGGTAATTGTATGATAGACCCATCAATTCGATTAATCACTTTGTACAGGATGCCATCATCGAAAATTTCATGAGGATATTGATTGGGTTGTGCTAAAATAGATTTGATTCGATTAGAGAGATTAACATCTTTCATTTGTTGTAATGGATCAATATTAATAACATATTGAATTGATGGAATAGTTGAAGTGATTGTAGACGATTGTGTCGAAACATTCGTTGGACATGATATGGTTGATTGAAGATTCGAAGGATTTATTTGATTGATTAATGATTGAGGAGAAGATTTCAACATCTGTAATTCAGCTTTCAGACGATCAACTTCATTTTGTAATAATTGACCAGATTCATGCGAAAGTCGTGCCGGTGATGGTTTCAAAGAATAATGAGATGGTAATGATTTTGGTTCCGTAGTTTGATGTTGTGTACCAAAATGAGAGTGTAGTTCAGGATTCAGTATATGATCACCATTTGATTCGGCTGAATCTTCAGCTTTTGTGAAAGAACTTGCCATCGAAAATGAATCACGAAGTTGATTAATTGATGATGAAATTGTGGATTCTTTAGAAGGATGATTAGATTTAGTTTTGGAACGTGTGAAATGTTGGTGACTGTGCATAAACGAATATAACGAAAATAAGATGCAATACCATCGAACACTAGACGACCCGTCCGACAATAACAAAAATTTATCACTTGGCTAGTGCACCAGTTAGAATGTTAGCTTGCCTCTCTTTTATTGGAAAAACACGAAGTATATATAGGAAGGGAAAATTGGACTAGTCAGGGAAGAAGTTGAGAGTTTCTTCGTCTGATTGAAAATGAACAACAAGTAGAGTTACAACAAAAGACGTCAGTGAAGAAGAATAGGTCAGATGGGTAAGAACATATAGTAACAACTGAAGAAAAAGAAATATGAAATCATCCATATATCCTAACACCTCCTTCCCTACAACAGATGAGCGCATCATCTGCTCATCGACCAAAAAAACTTATGA